GAGAGAGGAACTTCTAACCTGCTCTGCTAATTAGGGGCCTCGCCGGTGCAGCGTTTGCATCATAACTTGAATTGGTCGGACCAGCTCTAAAATGTAGAAACGGGTGCCGAGCTGAGGCTGATCAAACTCTTTGGTTCCCTGTTATTATGCAAAGTCGATGAAGTGTGTTTAATTTACAAAAGAAGCTTGTGGCTTTCTCCTGCAGAGTTGTGGATGCCCCCTCATCTCATGAACACTCCTATTTTTTGTTTGTTTTTTGATACAGCTCCCCAGTGGATCCATTCAGCAATCAGGCGTAGGTGAATGAGTAGTGAAAGGACTGAAACTGTAGTGTTTCGGCTGAGTTTCAGCTTTTTGTGTATCTGGCAAAAGCGGTTGTTTTCTCTGACATTGTTATGTAACAATTATTTCAGATAACTGTGAGAAACAACGGTTTGTAACATAAAAACGTTGCAGTTTTGCACTGTTTTCTCACAAACCGATGGCGTTTCCGTTTAATGAACACTTCTTCTCTCACATCTGTATTTATTTTACAATAAAGTACAGATATTTTATGTAAGGTTAAAACAATTATTTCATTATTAAATTGAACCAAATAGAGCAAGAGGAACAAAATCTTAATTTTATCTCAGTCATTTACTGAAATGTTCAATTCATGACGCTTCAGTCAGGAATCAAGCAGCACGTTTCAGTGACTTTAATGTTTTTACTAGACACAACGCTGCACTTAATGTCAATTATTTGTTTGGTATTACATGTTTGCTAACTGCTCGCTTGTCTGTAAATGAAAGTAACGATTGAAAAACAACGACTCTCCACCTTCTTCTCAGCAGGAGGCGGCAGTCCAGCTGTGTGCGCCTGCACCATTAGTAGAAACCCGTGTGGGTGAAATTAATACAACCAGTGGTGTTTCTCATGCTGGTTTGAATGTGAACTGGGGACCGGTGGTCATAAACAGTAAAGGCAAACATGATGGAGCGGACAGACTCATGCAGGTGGATGTTGCGCTGGCAACAACCACTGATGGTTGTCTCTTAGTACACAGCGTTATGTTATTTGATTGTTGTGTTGATATTATTGTGCGAATGCTTATAAAGAGCCTTTTTTAATGTGTATTCTCTGGTAAGTTTCTCATTCTGCAATTTTTGTGCTATTTCAACCGTTTATATCAAAACATTCAGCTCCTTTAGGACATTTCAAATATGGCTTTTGGTATTTCAGCAATTAAAATTTTTTAGACGTTTTTTTTCTCATTTAAAATGAATTGTTTTCATCATCCTTAAAACCTTTTTAAAATGTTCATAAATCTTTACTGTGCCTTTTACATTTTGTTCTGGTTCTGCTGTTTTTAATTTCTTTGTGCTAATTTCAGCTTGCTTCTGCTTCTCTTTTGCTAATTCTAGCTTTTTTTCTTCTATTTTAGCTATCATTCTGTTAATGTTAGTCTTCTGCTACTTTAATCTTTACTTTTACACCCTTCACTTTCTTTCTGCCCCTTTCCCCTCATTGTTCTTTTTATCTGCATATTTTTGTGTTTTTCGGCCATTCTCTACCCCTTGAAGCTTTTGTTTTCACAGTTTTGGTTCTTCAGCAAATCTCAGCAATTATTCAGCTGATTTTTTGTTTCACCTCAATTGTTAAGATTCAGCAAGCGTTAATAGTTCAGTTTAGTTTAAAATATTGCAGCTTTCAGCTAACTTATTAAGCACCGCAGTTTTCTAGGAAATGCAATTTCTTAAGTTAAGCCTTGCGTTCGTTTCACTAACATCCTTGAATATTTTACTTCTTATGGCGTGCATGTGTCTCAGTTCAGCCATTTAAAATCAGTTCTTCTGGTTGTATGTTGTGGGTATAATATGGCCGAACAACTCATCTGTTTTTGGTTTTATTATTTCAGTCCATTTTATGAATCCGGATCGACTCTGGCATTTCAATGAAGTTGGTTGTAAAGTTATGAAATGAAGCAAATGAGTCATAGCCGCAGAATGCTTTGTTCCGCTCATGACCAGATAAGCTCTGTGGGCAGATAGAACCTCAGTGTACCTGTGTGCAGCGTACCTTGCTCGATCCATCTATACTTGGCCCAAAGAGCCGCAGTTTGTAGCGTTGTTTCGCCTCGTGTTATTTTTAACACTTTGACAGTGAACACAGCCATGTTTTAGTATTTTTTTCCCCTCTCTGATCTACATGAATGCCTTGTGTTGCTTCGTTGAGTAGGACAACCTTTATGGACATGCATGGTGTTGTTGCAGTAGCTGGTCAGGGATCTCCCACACTGACAAGCCAGCTGATCATGAGCTTGAAATCAGCTCTAGGTGATTAAATCATAAAAACAAAATGTTTCTACACAAGTACAGATTTGTTGTACACTCTTCTTTCTTGTCTAATCAAAACAACACGATAGGCCAGAAAGTGAGGACAGTTTGTGCTACTATTTCCTTAAACTCTCTTCTCCTTTCTCATTTCAAACCACATCCCTTTTTTTCATTCAACATGGATTAACGTGCACATTCATTAATGATTCAAGACAGCAAAGAGCAAAAAACTATTTATACCTCTGAGCTAAGAGTCATTTGCAGACAGTCGCTTTCAAATGAAACCAACCGGAGCATTCCGGGCGTGGCTGTGAAAATGCAACAGATCTGAAATAATTATAATTACTAATAGGTCAGACTAGGAGACTTACTTGTGTTTACATGTTTAAACTCAGGCGTGGAAGTTGGTCAGATCTCCAGCTCTGTAGCTGCTTAGTTAGTTTGTTGTCTCAGAGTTTGCTACTTTTGTATCCTGAAATGAGGTCAAGTATTGTTGATTTAAAGCATCACGGCAGCCGACAGGAACAAAGTACTTTTTCCCCCCGTGTATGTACTTAAAGCCACCTCACGTTACTTTGTTTCAGTTATGTTGACACACTGAAACACACCCACATGATCCAACTCTTTACTTTAGATAACTGTTTGTTCAGACAGAGTTAAAACCTTTAAACCAGTCTCTGGCAAAGATGTTTAAGTCTATGATTAAAGGTATTTGTATATTCAAGTAACAAATTTTGCTGGATGATAAATTGCCTCAGAAATTATTGCCATAAATGATAATATAGTTTGGAGACCATTTTAAACTAATATACTGATACTGCACACCACTGCTTACAAAGCTTACAAAGGTTTATGAAATTTACATACGTTAAAAAAAATACGGACTGCCCTGGGCCAGAGGTTGGGACAACACCACCCAACAGCTGCTAAAGCTGTAAAATCACTTCCTCTGCACAAGCACAATTTATTCCTCTTGATTCATAAAATAATTGCAGTCCCCCCGCTGCTGCTTACGAAGTTTATGGAAGTTTACTACATTTACATAGTGTAAAAATTTTTTTAGGTGAACCCAAGGTTCGGCACAGTGTCCCGAGGAGTCGCCAACTGAAAGAAGGCATTGGAAAAGCAAAGACGCTCCTCTAGCTAAATGTCTGTTCACGGGGCTCTCATGCTTCCTGACGGGAGAGTTCAGTCCTCCCTACGCTAAGGAGCAAAAGTGGGAAACACAAAGAAAACAAAGAAGCAGGAAAATGAATATGATCTGCCTCATTTTTTTATTAACCTCATTTTAATTTATCGTGCGATTAATTGATTTATTGCCTGTAGCGACAGGTCTAGTACTTAGATGGGAAAGACAGTGTCAGGATGGACAGTGGTGCTTCAGGCAATGTTCTGCTGTGAAATGTTCTGTCATTCACGTGGATGGAACTCTAACACCTACTTAAACATAACTGCTGACCAACTGAAGGGTATTTCCTGGTGGCGGTGGCCTCTTTCATTGCTCATCTACAGAAATGATTCAGTAACAATTAGAGAAACTCAACAATAACTATAAAATATTGACTTGGCCTTCAGTTTATCCAGATCTCAATCCAGTCAGGCATCTGTTGGATGATCTAGACCAGGTGTGTCAAGATCATTTTCATAGTTGTAAGAAAACTTCAACGTTTCGTGTTTAACTTGGACTAAACATAAAACGTAACGTTCCTTGTCTCATTGTTACAGGTGAGCACTGCTAACCAACACTAACTGAGCTCTACCTGGTATTTCCTGCATAGAAACATCATTTTAGCACGTCCTCTTATAAACACTGAAAAGTGCTACGTAAAACAGTAAAAAAAACTGTAAAAAAGTTTTACTCACTGTTGAGTTGTGGTGAGTAGCTGCCATCTTGAATTCTGAATTCTCCCACTGGAGAGGCCTTCCAGTCTAAATTTAGGACTTGTAAGTGGGAAATTCCCACTTCCCAGTACAAATGTGCAGCACCAAAAGTACCCCAGCAAAAATGCAGCGAAATGGAGATTACCCTGTTCACCTCCACCTAACAGTGCTATGCTGTCACTTCCTGGGTAAAATAATCAACATGCATTATGGGAGATGTAGTTTATGGTCAATGCTGGATTTAAAGCAACATATGCTTATTTTAAGACATTACATCTGTGAAGCTCTCGTGGGTCACATTAAATGCTGTGGTGGGCCACATTTGGCTCGCAGACCTTGAGTTTGACACATGATCTAGACAAACAAGTGCATCCTGGAGACCACAGGTGTACTACAGGTGGCTTAGGGCCAGGAGCAAATCCTCAGAGGCCAGGTGGAGTCCATGCCTCAATCAATCGAGGCAGTTTTGGCAGCAAACGGTTGTTATTTTGTTTTATTTTTTTAATTTAAGAAGGAAAAACACTGCAATGATTGATTTTGTTTCCAGTTTTTTAACTACCTTTTTAGCTGTTGTGGCAGTAATCTTCAAAAGACAAGACAAGTAAATCCTGCACTGATGAAAACATCATTTTAGTTTGTTTCGAAAACAATTTATAAAGATTAAATTCAAAGTTCGAAGTGCACGAAGTTTGACTAAAATCCAAAGAGTTCAGAACTCATCATGAAATCAGCAACTCGTGTCGTTCATCAAGAGGAAAACGTTTTTTAAATTATTAATCAAAACACTCTCATTCTGCCTTTCAGTCACGGAGTGGGGGGACGATGTGAGGCCCATCTCTGAAGAAGAAGCCATGGTCATCGTCAATCATCAGTCCACAGGAGATGTTTGCACTCTCATGATGTGCCTCCAAGACAAGGGCACGGTAAGAACTTCAGGAGCATGAAAAAGGTTCAAAAATGCACAGCAAGCGACCAAAATACAAACAGTGAAATGTTAAGTGTGAGACTGAGCTCCTAAACGATCTGTTTTGAGATATTTTATCTTCTACAATAAAAGAAACGAGACCAGCTTCAGCTGACGTTAGGAAATAATTGCACGCTCCGCTTTTTCTCCCACGGTGTACAACCAAGGCCACTGCGATTGTTTCTGTCTCCTTCCTGTATGTTATGTTTTCTGTCGGCCACGCGATGCCCTCTACAGCTTTATTACCACCTTGTGTAATCTCACTGAAAACCACCACCGTGTTGGCAGCTTGTTTTGTTTCCTCTGGGTGGAAATGTACCTCTTAAAGTGACTTTTTCCTTCGAAATATGTTCAGCAATTCTCTAAAAACTGGCTACACTTCGGCTGTTTGCTGCAGTCATGTTATCAGATCTAAGCAGCTAGAGGGATGCAGTAGCTGTTTTGCATATTTTCAGCCTATAAAACAGAGATGTAGTCTAAACATATCCAAATATCTCAGTCCTCTGTTTCAGCTGAGTACATGTTTGTTATTGTTGTTTTGTTTATAGTGTTTTTCCCCCCTTTGGCTCAGCACTGCAGCTGCCAAGTTGCACTACACAGACATGACATGATCCTCCTCAACAACTGCATCCCTGGCCCAGTTTATCCTCTTAGCACTGAAAGGCCAGAAAGCCAAAGCTGCATCGGTGCAGGGTTATGAGGGTGGAAATGCTCAGAGGGGCCGAATCAGTCGGTGCTACCTCCTAACGAGGAGGAAAAAAATGAAACTAAGCAAAATTAGAAATTTGTTTTACAAACGTTTATTGTGTTTTTCTCTTGTCTTTTAAAGGTGGTACGAAAAATGATGTGGTTAATGGACCATGTGTTCAAATACACTAACTTTGGTGTAGTGTCTCTGATTCATGGGGACTTCTTCATCAGACAGGTAAGGGTCATGTGTTATTTTTGCTTTTTTATTACTCGCTGATGAAAAGCAAAAGCAGACTATACCCACAAAACAGACAGGTGTGGGTCCGATCTGGTGTCAAGCTGATGTGGGCCAGATCTGGCAATGATGGCACTGTTTTTAAGATAGCAAAGTTTTTAAGATGGCCTTGTTGTGCTTTGGTTTAAGTTGCCCAAATCTGTCATTGCCCCCCTCGTCCAGTTGTGGTTTGCTTTATGTGGCCCAAATCTGTCATTGCCCCTCTGGTCCAGTTGTAGTTTGCTTCATGTGGTGCTGGCTAGTGCTGTCCTAAACGATTATTTTTCTCTCAATTAATCTAACGATTATTTTTACGATTATTCGATGAGTCTAACGACTATTTTTTTGATTCATTAAAGATTTTTTTTGTTGATCGAGTAATATAAAGACTAATTT